CTGTGCACAAATCCATTTGTGTCCCTGTGAGCTTCGCTCTTGGCCTGCTGTGTGTTCACTCAACATATTTATTTACATTCTGTCTTATCAGGCATGTTTCGCTAGGATTATGGTTTTGTCGTAATGCTTGTTTGTTGTTCATCAGCACAAACATGTTTATTTGTGTGTGTTTGCATGCACAGATGGAGGAGCTGTTGGCCGCCATGGAAAAGGTGAAGCAAGAGTTGGAGTCCATGAAGGCCAAGCTGTCATCTACCCAGCAGTCTCTGGCTGAGAAGGAGGCCCACCTGACCACACTGAGGGCAGAGCGCAGAAAGCACCTGGAGGAGGTGCTGGAAATGAAGTAAGACCTTTACGCTTGTCCTTCACACCTCTTGGCCTGATATACAGTAGCAATCGCTCACTGCCGTCTTAAGGAAGAACATTTTGTTGATGGTCGTTTTAAAGGGATATATTATGATAAACAGGATTTTCTTGCTCTTTTGAAAGGAGTATGTAGATGTATTCCATCATTACAAGCGCAGGCTATTATAACTTGGCATGGACGTTGTTCCTCATTTTACTTGCAGAAGGGTTAGCCAATCATAACACAGGGCATTCACATATTTTAATCTTAAAAGTACTGTAGAAAAATTATCCTGTTTAAAATCTAATCATTTAAGTTCCACAAAATCAGTGTTAGAAGGATTTTCGTGGCGTAGGTCAGGGGTTTTCAGTGGACCCCCAACTATGTTTATTTTATTTTATTTTATTTAAATAACGTGAAAATTATGCATTTAGTAATGTGCAGTTTACATTCTGCATACTATTATATTATAGTTTTCATTAATATTTTGAGTTAATTTTATATTTTCTTTCATTTTAAGTTTTGTTAAAGGGGTCATATGATGTTGCTAAAAAAGAACATTATTTTGCGTATTTGGTGTAATGCAATGTGTTTATGCGGTTTAAGGTTTAAAAAACACATTATTTTCCACATACTGTACATTATTGTAACACTCCAAAGAGAAAGGAAAGATTGAAATCGCATCATATGACCCCTTTAAGGTTTTAGTCATTATGATGTGATCTATTTTTTATGTTTATATAGTTTAACTTTTTTTTTTTTTTTACAAAAATGTTGTAGTTTAGTTTTAGTTATTTTAGTTCAAGTTAAACTAAATTAATATAAGAAATGTTGCTACTATACAAGAAACATCTCATGAATGCACTGGGACGCATCCTCAGCATCATAGACAGCTTGTACCAGGAAACGGACCCGATGGAAATCTGCCTGCAAGATGTTTGCCCAGGTGATCCTGCGCTGCAGTGTACTCTCCCACCTAGTCCACGCTCCCTGCTGCCGGAGTCCCCCCGCCCTGCTCACTCGCTCTTCCTCCACGCCTGCTCGAACCTCTTCCTGAAGTAGATGGTGTCTTTCCTTACCGCGGGCCTGGCTAACCAAGGTCTTTGGAAAGTAGCCCAAGCCCGCTCTGCCTGTCGCCACGGTGCCCACCAGAGCCTTTTGTCTCAGGCGTGACTCTGCCACCTCCACTGCTTTCCCAGCCTTCCATTTCCTTCCTGTCCTCACCTCGATGCCGGCTGATGACAGGGACTGTAAATAAAGCTGTTAAGTTTTATTTCAGATAATGATTATTTTAGTTCAAATAATTTTCTAATGGTTTTTTTTTTATTTTTTTTTTTACATTTTTAGACCTTAACTTTTCTGTGGTCTCCTAGGGGTCCTCTGATCCCAGTCTGAAAACCCCTGGTCCATGGTCCATGCATGCAGGCATGATTTTTTCCTAATGCAGTAGGTAGGCCAGAGGCCTCGAGAGACTGTGTGCTCTTGGGATGCTGAATGGTTTTTTGAGTGCTTCTTTATTTCAAGCTTTTCCTCATCCTCTGCTGAGCTTCTGCAGACTCATTTCTCCAAAAGATCACTTCAGCAGAATCCAAGAACCCCTCGCTCTTTCTCTGTTTTCTCCCACAGTATTCTCTGAACTCTCTCTTGTCTTTTCTCACTCTCTCTCACAGTCTTTTTCTTATCAGTGCCTGTGTTTTGAGCACTTCCTGACTAGATAGAGATAAGAGTACTAGAGGAACATAGGAGGTCGAAGGTCTCCATTCCATATTTGAATCAGGATTTAATTAAGGACCCCTGAGTTTCAGAAAGGAGGCCCTCTTGCTGACAAATTAATGTGGCTCCACTGAGATGGGTTTGGGGCCTGGAGAAAAGACCTTGTCTTCTACCTTATAGAGGTAGAATATCTTTCTTATATGCAGTTTTTGAAGAAATATACAGTATCATTTAAAAGAAAGTTGTCTCAACTCAACTCTATTTGGGGTTAGGGCTTCAATTATCAATTGAAAATTTGGTAGCACTTTACAATAAATGTAACATTAGATCATGCATTGACAACAATGAACAATTTTTTTTTATTCAGTTAATAATGCAGTTTTGTTTATTAATTCATGTTCTTTCTTAATTACATAAATGTTACATAAACTTAAGTTGTTGAAATTAAAATGAAAACATGAAGTGAAATATATGTATTTTTTATTTAGAAATAAATCAAATGTATTAGTTTATATAGCTATTGCCATTAAGGTTAATAAATGTTATAAGTATTGTTCTTCGTTACATCATGATAGTTAATGCATATTGATATTTAAAGAAACTTTTTGTAAAGTGTTACCAAAAATATTTAAAATTAATTGAGTGACATGTAATGAATTGCATATATCCCCCAATTGAAGGTAATTCAGAAAGATGAAACATTGAATAGACAAAAAGTGGCTCTAGAAAGATTTTTTTAAAAGGTTATTTTTCCATCTCAATCTGTGATATTATTTTTCTGTCTCTTTTTAACATCCTCTGCTGTATATTGACCTCACAGGACTATTGTTTTAGATTGAATATCAAGTGAGTTCAAAATAATGGTCGTGGTTGCGGAAAAATGAGTCAGAATTGGAGTTTCAAGGACTCTCTGTGCTTTCCAGATTGGTGTGGTGATTTGATTGTCAGCCATATTCTCAGAGGCACGGGTCTGCCATCATAACTGCATGCTTCAGTTATGATGGATTCTAGCATTAAAAGAAGATAAAGAGAAAGCTGAGAGATTATGGGAGTCTTTATCTAGGTGTAATGTGTTTGAGTTAATGCTGCGTACTGATTCCCATAAAGATCATTTTGCCACTTAATATGAAAGAGAGCAGGAGAGCAGGGCCCCATTGCATCCAGATTTGGCTGTTGATAGCAGAAGGTCAGCTCAACTGAGACAGGGAGCGCTGTGTATCTCCACCGGCCTCTCACTAACCACACATTTACAAAAAAATCTCGTATTTGAGTGAAAATAAGGCTCTGATAGGGATGGAAGGGAGAGGGTGGTCTTCGATCTGTTTTGGGTCGAACGTAATGTGGTCGGGGCCGGAGAAAGTAGACTCACGCTGTTGAAGGGGCCCCGCTGGCTGGCAGCAGACAACCAACTGGACCACTCATTAAAATTTCGAAGGAAAAACACAAAATAGCAGACGCAGAGGTCACAGACTTTTTATTTATTTATTTCCTCAGGCTGAACTTCCGACCGCACAGTTTAAAGTCAGCAGTGTGGAGACATCGACCCTTTGGGCTGGTTCTCCATCCTCGGCATCTAAAAAAAGGCAGAATTACCACTCGTTCTAAACTCTGTTTCCCTACGGTTTGCAAAGGGCATTTTCAAAATGTTCTGAAGTCTTAGTTGTATTGCCTTTTTTCCAAGTTGAATTTAAGGGAATAGCTCTCTCCAAAATGCCAATTGTCATCATTTACTCCCCTTCATGTTGTTTCAAACTTGCATGTCTTTTTTTTTTGGTGAAACACAAAAGCAGATGTTTAGTAGAATGTTCATGCTGCTCTTTTTTTCATGAAAGCATATAGTGGACAGGGACTGTCAGGCTTGGGCTGGTTCTCCATCCTCGGCATCTAAAAAAAGGCAGAATTACCACTCGTTCTAAACTCTGTTTCCCTACGGTTTGCAAAGGGCATTTTCAAAATGTTCTGAAGTCTTAGTTGTATTGCCTTTTTTCCAAGTTGAATTTAAGGGAATAGCTCTCTCCAAAATGCCAAATGTCATCATTTACCCCCCTTCATGTTGTTTCAAACTTGCATGTCTTTTTTTTTTTGGTGAAACACAAAAGCAGATGTTTAGTAGAATGTTCATGCTGCTCTTTTTTTCATGAAAGCATATAGTGGACAGGGACTGTCAGGCTCAAAAATTGATGGGAAAATATAAAATTATCTATATTCAAAGTCTTATTATATGCAAGAATATGCCATTTGAATGTGCAAAATTTGAAACGGAAAAACCAAGGAAATTTGAATATGCGAAAGTGCAAATGAGATTTGGTTAGAACAACAGTGCTCAAGAACAGTGGTGTTTGGTTGTACTGACAAATCTGGAATGACGTATCTTCACGCACTGTATTTGAAAATACACAAATGCAAATTAGGGAATTCATCATTATTTGGATACACTTTTTTTAAATGTAACTTCTAAGGGCTTTAATTTACAGCGTAGACAGCAAATAGCTCATTAGTTGATAAAATCTATTGTCAAGGCAAATGAATACCACAATGAGGTCATTATTCAGATAAAACTCACTGAATGTAACCAGCAGTGAGAAAAGACCATTATGAGGTCATCGCTCAATTAAAATCCAAATGGACTGTCAATGGGGTTCTTTGATAATGCATAGAGGTGGATTCAAGCAGTGCTGGCGCCAAGGTTTATGAACGTAACTGTGCTGTACGCAGTGTGGTACTTACATTCGGGCTTGTTTTGTGGAATGAGCTGAGGATTTAGAGCGATGGGTTGAGGCGGTAATGAGATCTCCAGCACACCATCCCATCCTCATGTTTCCTCTCCATTTAGCACAGTTTAAATGCCCCTGTACCGCTGGATATGAGATGTGGTGATATCCCAGTGTTCCACCATTTGATGTGGTTTCCTTCTTTCGTTCGCACTTACTTCCACCAGCTCACGTACTCAGCTCGGTAAAGTGCGACCGCAAGGCAGAAATCAGTCGTCTCCCTTTGAACAAATGTTTAGCTTTCTTTCTGCAGTTGTTTGGGAGTGCTGGACATTTTGGAGTGGCCGCTTGAGAGGTGGATGATGATGGAAGGGTTGATCTTGATGAAGAGGCCCTTCTCAGATATTCGCTTAAAGGCATTAAGCCACTTGTTCATGTTTTAGGACTTGAAAAGAGCTGTCACCACCTGCGTGGTTCTTAGCTTAGTTCTTACTGTGAAACTCAAGCTCTTGCTTGGTTTTGCAAAGGTCTGGTCCACACAGTTAGGCTTCCCATTTAGATGCGAAGAGACCA